CTCGTGTCCCCTGGGGGTGGGGTGGGGGGGCGGCCGGCGTGTTTCAGGGCCTTGTTTAACTCTCAAACTCTGATAGGGATTCACGGGGCTACCTTTGCTGGTACCCCGATACTACAAGGACCTCCTACGTCAGAGGCATTTTAATCGGGGCCCATGGGTCTCTAGGATGTCTATGGAGTCTCTGATTGTCCTGAACATGGGCACAAAATTTACTGCAAGTGGATAATCTATAGCTAGCACCACATTTCTGAAAGGGACATTGACCTGCCAAAATATAAGAAGCATTTTTTATTTTTATTTTTTTTTTTAAATATATTTTATTGATTTTTTACAGAGAGGAAAGGAGAGAGATAGAGAGTCAGAAATATCGATGAGAGAGGAACATCAATCAGCTGCCTCCTGCACATCCCCCACTGGGGATGTGCTCGCAACCCATGTACATGCCCTTGACCCTCTATCCACTGAGCCAAACCGGTCTCGGCTAAGAAGCATTTTTTATACTACCTCCCCCCACCCCCCAGCAGAAAGGGCTCACCTGTTGGTCTCCATGGCAATAGCTTTGCTCTCCTGGGTTGTTTTTTTTTTTTGGGGGGGGGGGGGAGTTGCTTCACAAATTTTAATTTAAATCTTTTGACTTCATCAAGAAATCTGCCCAACCTTTCCTTATGTCCATGTGAAAGGACTACATGCTTTCCAGAAAAGGCCTTCCAGTGTGTGAGCGCCAGTTATGTAAGTACCTCACCCTGACCCCACCGTGACCTAAAGGATTTTAGGGTGGGTGTTCCCTGAGTTTGGAATCAACACAGGAAATGTATAAAAAGAAAAAAAAAAACAAACAACCTTCCCCTCCCCAGGCTTTCTTCCTTCTAAGCTAAGCTTCATGCTTGGGCTGAAGAATCCAGATGAAGAAAAATGAAAGGCCATCTCCACACTGTTCCCGATACATAGGTTTGGGGAGCATGTGAAGAATTGTGACAAAGCCCACGAACTAGAAGCAAGCTACAAATGCTTACAAGGGGGTTCGTCACTCCTGCACAAACTGTGGGTCAGTCTCTATTGTCCTGGTGGCTCCCGCCAGGGGATGTGTCTCCTTGTTGACACAGGGCTGACCTAAAACAAAGAAAGTTGATGACATAAACATATCCTTTTCCCCAGCCCTTGAGTGTGTGTGACTTAACCTTTAACTCTTGCGTGTTGATGTAGGTGAGATGTCAAATACTTTCTGCGGAACTGTTGGCAACTGTTTAAAGTGTTTTCATCGCTCTTCCACTGAGGAGAAGCCAGTCTGGGTCTAACCAGTCCCTATCCCGCGTCGCCTCCCCGACCCTCCCTCATCTCTCCCTGCCACTTGCTCAGGACTGAAACAGGAAAGCAGCCACAAAGAGCAGGATCAGCTGGTAGTCACTGTAAATCTGCAGTTACTTAAAGTGTCACTTCCTGTTTTTGAAAGAACATGCCTCTAGCAAGGAATAGAGCCGGAAGGTCTCGTGACCAACTGTGAACAAATGATTTAAATTGTGAGCCAAACAAAAGGAATCCAGTATCGGATGCTGTAATTGCTTTTTTCATCCTCCTTAATCTTTAGACGCAGAGACAAAGCCTCTTACTTCCTCTAGGTCAAACCTTCATCCTAAAAAGACAAAACTGCCTTCTCCCCACTTCCACGCATAAGAAAGCCAACCAGCTCCACTGGAGGCTGAACCCTAACCCATGCCGACTCACTCAGGGGACAAAATCTAAGTGGATGTATTTCTGTTTAATGTTTAAGCCAAAGTATAAAGTTCTTGCTGGTTTTGCCTTTGCGAGACAAAGGTCCTTCTATGACCAAAGGGGGAAAAAAGCATAAAAATCCTCAGCAGTGTCATTTCATACAGATTTGTTTCTTAGTGGTCATTCTTGTTCTCTTTTTTATCAGTTTTGCTGACAAAATTGAGCCTTAAGCTACCAGTAAAATCATAGCATGTATGTAACATACACCTGAAGAAATCAACTTGGATAATAAACTAGACCAGCGGTGGCCAACCTTTTGGACCTGACGGACCACCAGTGGTCCACGGGCCACCAGTTGGCGACCACTGCTCCAAAGGTTTTCACTACCCACTAGCTTTTCATCTTTTCACCCTGGAGTCAGTCCATTTCTTGGAAAGGAAATCTCTGTTCATTAAAGAAAAGTGGGTATGCCAAATGCACCAAAATAAGAGTGGAGGCGGAAGGGTGGAGGGAGGACACTGCATGACTGAGAGAAGTTTGGCTTCTATAATTAATATTTTAAGCCATCTTACTTCACTTTATATGGTCAGAGGAAAAGGAACTAGCACATAGCTAAAGCAGGGTGTGCCAAAACTACATATATATGTACAATTCATCAATGTATTCATACTATAGTGTATATATATATATACACACACACATATATATATATATTTTATGTATATCTGATTATCTGTAATATAATTATAATCATGGATAGTGCCTGTTATGTGTTTAGTGGATGTTGATTTTTAAATCATACATGCCACATAAAATAATCCCAGCTAAACTGTTTTTGCTGGGCAACTGGGTAAAGTCTTTCCACAGTAATGTCTAGAATAGCCATTGGCTTAACTCTTATTTCACCAGTCATTTAGAGGCATCATATTAATTTCTATACCTTGAGAGGGAGGGGGAGGGGGGAGTTGAGCTCTATAGGTATCATAGTGCCTGTCTCAGACACCGTATTTGTAAATAATTCAGTGGCCCAATGAAGAGGTCAAGCACAAGTAAGAAATGGCCTTAAGGATCACCACCTAAAGGTGTCCCCTCACATAAAAATTCCACATAAAAACAAATCTTGGGGAATTTATAAAACATGGTGCACATTTGTTAACCATTAGTAACCCCCAATTCAAATTTAAGGCATATCAAATTTCTAAATTATAAGTTAGAGAATATGAAAGCTAACAGTGTGACCCGGCAGTGACTATCCCAAAAGCTAACATATTTCTGGGTACTCAGGAAAAGGCAAGAACAAGGGCACAGGTAAGTTAAGCTCTCTGTGACTCCAGAAAAATACCTTTAAGTGACGCAATTTAGTCAAAAGTCAAAATCACTTGACTGAATTGAATAGTTTTTAAAAGATAAGATTTAGTCAAATTATTTTCTACATGTAGGACAAGCCTGCAACTCTTCAAATTGTATTTTTTAAAAGTATTTTAATTGATTTCAGAGAGGAAGAGAGAGGCAGAAAGATAGAAACACCCATGATGAGAAAGAATTATAGCTTGGGCGCCTCCTGCATGCTCTGCATTGGAGATTGAGCCCACAACATGGACATGTGTCCTGACCAGGAATCCACGCTCAACCGCTGAGCAACACTGGCCAGGCAAATTTTATTCTGTTTATAAAGAGTATCCCATTAAAGTTGTGCAGTAAAATGTGACTTCTTGGCATTTATGAGCATCAAGCTGTTAAGACTTCAGCACTATGCCAAAAAAAAAAAAAAAAAAAAAGGAAACAAAAATGGTGCTGATAGAAGTACCTCATTGGAGAAAACCACCATTATTAGGAGCGTGGGTGTCAAAGAAGCAACAAAAGGAAAATGGCCTATTTGATCATAAAGAATTTGAATCAGCTTCTTGTCAAAGTGTTTACTGCTGCCAAATCTTGCCAGGTGTGTGTCCTGACCCCTTTCCTTCTGCTTTTCTGCTCCTTCTCAGTCATTTGGGGGATCCCCTCCCCTCTTTGGTTTCCAAATATCTCCTTTTCTTCTTGATTCTCTTCTAGACTCTATGCTGTTAACAAAAATCTAAAATTCATTAAAATAAAAAATTATACTTTATTATTGAAATCACATGTCTACAAATTCATCTGTATACTTACTGCAAACACACACATGTACAATTTGCTCATTATTGTAATTCAAATAAATAAAGAATTTTTAAATATATATGTTTATTGATATCAGAGAAGAAGGGAGAGGAAGAGAGAGAAACATCAATGATGAGAGAGAATCATTGATCGGCTGCTTCCTGCATGCCCTACACTGGGGATTGAGCCCACAACCCAGGCATGTGCCCTGACCAGAAATTGAACCATGACCTCCTGGTTCCTAGGTCAATAATCAACCACTGAGCCACAATGGCAGGGCCAAAAAAAGAATTTTTGATTTTTATAATAGCAGACTTACTAGATAGGTCAATTAACTAATACAACATGACATCCTTACCTAGCATGTCACTTGGTATAGACTCAAATAGCATCAGAGACATTTTGGAAGCTAGAAGAGCAATCTGAGGATGGTTCGTCTGTTGCTTTTTGGCACAGCCTGCATGACACTGCCTGGGAAAAGGCAATGAATCTTTCTCCTCTATCTTCCAAAATGTCTCTTATAGAATTCTTCAGAAAGAATTCAAAATACCCAAGGAGCGTTTCCACCAGCTGGCCAAGGAAATCTGGGGAGACACCAACAGAATCTACTACCTGTGGAGATGATGGAAAAGATGAGAAAGGGATGAGGAGGAGAGCAGGGAGATTCTAACAAATCCAGGTAGTCCCAAGAGCACACACTTTTCAAGTAATGCTCCCATCTCAACTTGGAAGAATGCTGCTTATGGGTGATGCAACTCAGTAGTCCCGTAGAGCAGGAGACCATGAGTAGATTGGAACTGTATGAAGGCACTGAAATATTCCCAAGCTATTTTTAACATCAGAGCTTAAAAAGTTTGCTGCTGAGACACACCCTCTATTTGCTCTGAACTCCAGAGCAAGTTCGAACAGCAGGTATACATCCTTTGCTCTAACGCTAATACTTTTTCCATACACTTGTAAGCCTTCAAAACAGCTGCTAGGGTTCCCCTAGAGAGGGCTTAATTTTGGAATCAGATGAAAAGACTCCTTGGTCCAGTGGTGTAAATTACTGAAACATTGGGATAAGAGGGCCTATAAACTATGCTATAAAAACCTCCACCATTCCTAGCTTTGATGTCTTGGTGTTGCCAGCAAACATGATCTACTTTCCAAATGTTCCTTCTCTTCCCGCTGTGCTCTGTGGCTGAGCAATAAAGCAGGAAGGGACCGTCAGAGCATCCATCTGGTAGCAGAACAGGTTAGGTCCTGCGAGAATTACTGCAGATCTTTTCAATCCCGGGGCTGTGGGTTCAAAGTCTGCTCTCGCTCTCACTCGAGGGAAGAAATCAGTCGGATCTATGACTGGATGTTAGGTTGGTCCAAAAACTCCTTACTTTTTAGCACATTTGGATCATATTGTGTAGAGCCCACAAAGAGTCTATTCCCACGCCCCCCCCCCCAGCTCCCTCATAATTCAGAGAAGCCCCAAGGCAGATAATGAAAATATTCACAAGCATTTGCACAGAATGAGCAGAGGTTGAGGGAAAGTTTTGTAAGAAATACCAGGGGGAAAAAGAAAGAAAGAAACAGTGGAAAAGAAAGGAGACATTGGAAAAACATCTTTCTCTTTACCAAGCAATTTGTTTCTACGCTTTTTTGTGGCTCCAGTGATAGTGTTCAGGAAACTTGGTGATGTCATTTCCTTTCAGTTGGCCAGTTACATAAATGTTGGGGTCCAGCCAAGCGAAACAGCCCTCAAACAGATGGCCATGTGTGTAAATGCCAGAAAGTGAGAACAGCCATTTGCAATAATTTTTTTTTACCCCACACATGGTATAATGTTTATTTTACAACCTCTCTTATGGACTTATGTGGATCATTCTTGTCATTCTTCTAGGAAAATAAATCCCAAGGGGTGCAGTCATAAAATATACAAAACAAATCAAGAAGTAGTGGAAAATAAGGGACCGGGCAGAAGGGAGCATCGGGCTGGGAGAATACAAACCATCAAAGAGTAGTCCACGCAAGACTCCTTGGGTGATCAAATGTACTATGAAAGGAATATCTCAGCCAACAGGAAAGTCCAAGCCAGGCAGATTCTACAACAAGGCAAACGAATTCACCTTATGGACTTCAAGAAGTTTGGAATGAACTGCCTGCAGGGCTTTTACAAAAAAAGGGGGGGGGGGCACGCTTTCTAGATTTACTCTCATTCCTTCAAAGCAAATCCAAATGGAGCTGCAGAGTTCCTTCGCACTGAGTGGTCCACGCATCTCCCCATTCCAAAGCCATATTGATGCAATCAAGAGGACTTCACACTTGTAACTGTGAAGAATTTCAGTTATGCATAATAAAACACAGCAAGGAGTTTGAGGCTTTTCGGCTTCAAAAACTAAATTCTGTCCTTGTCATTATCTGCAACTGACTGATAATCGCATTTTCTGTCTTTGCTACTAATGACAATGAAATGTGGGTGTTGTTTTAGTGCCCAGAACAGCACATGTTAAGCAAAGAAAAATAAGTTAACCCTTCCTAAATTCTATCAATTAGCTTCCTTTGATATTTCAGTGAAATAAGGACATGTAAGTTAGAAAAGGTGTCTACCTTCCTCAATTCAGATGACATAAGTTTCAGCAGGGTGGGGAAAAATATGAGTACTGTAAACTAATCATGACTACTTACTCTTTTTCTTTGTTAAAATGTTTCTCCCCTCCCCCCCTTCCATGGAGATTAAAGAACTTACTTTTTTCTTTATCCATCACATTTCCACAAGAATGTGGCTATGATTTCTAACCTCTGTTTGAATATATAGCAGTAAAATGTCAGATTGATTTGTTCACAAATATTTATTAAACACCAAGTATGGGTCGAAAACTG